ACCCGTTATTTGAGGCTACCTATCTGGAGATGGGTAGTTCCGCGAAGGCTTCAGGGGGGAAGGGGGGGAGGGGACCGTATCTTCATATAATACCTGGACTCTCAGTACCTAAGCAACAGGAGCCTCGGTTTAGACCCCAAACTACGGACACCTAGGTACCTGAATTCCAAGCAGCCCAAACTCCTGACGCACCAGCCTGCGCAGCAGCTTCAGCAGAGGAAGAGTACGTACATCCTGCAGAGGTACCTCACCTCGGAAACTACAAGACGATTACCTAGGAAGGATATCAGCGCCGACCAACCGGGACCAAGGGGAAACCAGAACAGGCCCCTCCCGCCATACACGGACGTCATGCGGAAAGTTGCCTCACGTCTTGCGCAACTCACGTAGCCCTCCAGACATTCAACATCCAAATTATCCCGGCTTCGTCAGTCGCCGATTCCTAACTGTTTCCTGTCGCCGTACTAATCGACAACCCGATTGCATCGAGTGCACGACCGGCGCACCTCGACCTCGCGTGCTTCAGCAGCTACATGCTTGCTTCCCGACACAAACTTTGGCCGCTCCACAAGCTATCATGGCTGTGAAAGATGGCGTCTCGTATGTACTGACCAGAACTGGCATCACGTTTTCCAATACTAACGCTTCGGCTTTGCAGCTACTACCCGACGAACAACCTGATTTCGAAGAAGCCGCGGAAACACTACCGCATTCCCGTTCGATCTCAGTGTGTCCTCCCATCGCCAAGTCGTCAAACGCGCTTGCAGGCGTAACATGCTAATCAGAGCCTCTCTTCAGGCACTGGCAACTGCGATCCCTTATCAGCGCAGAGAAACAAAACTTTGTCTACTTTCCCGGAGGCACCGGCAGCAACCACGTCCAACGGCTCAACACAGCGACCAAGGTATGCGAGACCGTCAGGTTTCTCTCCTTTTCGCCACGGTGCCTGGTGGCTGAGAACGGCTGGGTGTGTTGCGGAGGAGAGACGGGCGAGTTCACGGCGATTCAGACGGACAGCGCTAGCGATGATGACAACAACCTTGATCTCCAACTCAATCTCGAACCCGACGCTAGATTGCCTCTCGGACTCGACTCCGACTCTGCTCGGCCAGAAGACAACATCTTTTCTCTCCTCAGCCAGGCGCGGCGGACGAATATGAGCAGCAGAACGAACAAAAGCGTTGTTGCTAGGAGCCAGAAGCTGGCGCGCGACCGCGTCAACTGCATAACGATGTGGTTTCCGCCAGCCGCCGGCCCGATGCACCACGGTGCCTATACCGAACCTGCTGCCGTCCTGGCCAACAACGACAAGACGGTAGTTCTGGTCGGATTGCACGACTTTGAAAGTCAAGAGAAGGTTGAGCCGCTGGATATTGTAACGTACCCGGACTATGTCAATCGCGCCATCATTTCGCCCGACGGCCGTCTTCTGATTGCAATCCTCGACGACCCCTTTTTGTACATTCATCACAGAGTTGAGGCAGCCATTGATGAGAACGGCCCATTCAGAAGCGACGACAAGATTGAGTACCGCTGGGAGCTGTGCGGCAAAATCCTCCTCAACAGTCAGCGGAGAGACGACGGGTCCGACAGCAGAGGGAGTTTTGCGGCATGTTTTTCCAATACTGGGGCATACTTGGCTGTGGGAACGCAGTACGGCACGATTTCTGTATTCGATGTCGAGGGCCTCACTGACCCTGATGTTGCCGATCCCTTGCTGACCTCTTTCACATCGTCACGTCCGATGGCTGGATCTGGGGCTGTCCGCGACATGGCTTTCTGCCCTGGTCCTTACGATCTCTTGGCCTGGACAGAAGACCGCGGACATGTTGGCATTGCCGATCTAAGGAGTGGGTTCGTGCAGCGTCAAGTCCTGGATATCAGTGCTACCGACGACTACGATCACATCCCCATCCTCGACCGTGCCACGATCGACCCTCGTCTGCTTGAGGGCCGTGGTGAACCAAGTGATACTTTATCCTCCATTTTACCAGATGCTGGCGAGATACGTCGGCGGCGCGGTGACGGCCCAAGCGGCCGCCACCATCTAGCCCTTACGCCCGATGAGACGCGGGTGCTCGAGGCTTTGCAGGAGGAGCGCAGGAGGCGTGAAATGAGAGATCGAATCTCGGCAAGAGTGGCAGAACCAGGGTCACAGCAATCACCAATGCAATTCTTTGGAGCGATGCCCCCTCTGGGAGGGAGAGGGGCCCGGATTGACCCTGAAATACTGGCACGGGCACGAAACGGGAGTGCCGCGCGTCGAGAACAAACGGCCTCGATGCGGACAACCCGCGAGCGTGCGGCTGTCGAGCCCGGAGAGCCCAGTGACGATGCCAACCAGAACGTATCCAGGGCTATTGGTGACCTCCTTGGCAACATCCGCGACTCGAGAGAACGAGCGCAAGAACGCATACGAACTACTCAGCGGCTTATTTTGCAGTCCAACACCGATCGAGAGCGCATGCTGGACTTGGCGAATCCTCATCTACCCAGGCGTTCGGCGAGCATACGGCCAAGCGACACTTCGGCGGCGGCCGCGGCACAGCGCGGCACAGGCGGGGTCCGCAGCCTGACGTCTTCCGGGAGCGGCTGGGCAGACCTTGAGGCTCTCTACAGCCTTTCCTTCGAGAGCAACATCCAGGATTTGCGGCAAGCCGTCAGAGACCGCGACAGAGACCGGGACCGCACGTCAATACTTCCGCTACTCAACTCCGTTGCGATTCGCGAGCTGGAGGAGCGCAATAGCCGTCGGCGTGTCGTGCTTGAGCATGGCGTTCACGAGGCTCCCCCCGAGCCCGATAACACCGCCGGAATCTCGTGGAGCGAGAATGGCAGGATACTGTGAGTGACTTGAATGGCGCAATAGGTAGTGTTTACTGACAACCAACGCAAGGTACGTGGGGGCTGAAAACGGTATTTACGAGTTCCATGTTGATGTACAGGCCCGCAAGTTCCACCCCAGCTTGACGTTGCGGTAGACATGTGCGATGGCTTGAATTTATCTGCAGGCGTTGGCGGGCCCATGATGGACTGTGTCAGTGACTCTACAGCCGAATATGAATTAATTGTTAGGACGGCGTCGTGGAGCTTGGCTTGGTTTGGTTTTGGGGGAGGCATGGCTATCCCCCTCCCTTCTTTTTTTCTCTTTTCTTACGCCACATGCATTCATCGACAATGAAAGGAGACGAAAAAGAAGAAAAACCCCGAAGGATGAAAAAAAGGGTCCTAAAGGTTGTATGAGAGAAAGCCCGGCCTTCTTTGCTTTATTTTTCATTTGGATGAATGGTCCTTTTCCACGTAACCTCTACCACATGTATGTATATTAATACATTCCATCAGAGCATACACGTCCTGGAGGTTGGCCGGCGACGTTGAGCCGGAAAACAGAATGCTCAAGCACGTTAACCGTATAGTATCTTGTCGACCCGTTCCGCGATTGCCAGACAGCTCGTGAGGCCGGGGCTCTCGATGCCCAGCAGGTTGACCCATCCCTCGTAGCCGTCCTCCTTCCTGATGACGAAGTCGTGGAACCCCGTGCCTTGCGCCACAGCCCCGAGCTTCCCCAGCTTCGGACGGATGCCCGCATAATCCGGCTCCAGGCAGCTCTCGTCGAGGCCCGGCAGGTACTTCTTGATGGCCTCGATGGCCGCCGGCATCCGCGCGCCGTTGACAGCCAGGTCGTCGGCCGAATCGACCCATTCGACGTCCGGGCCGAAGCGCACCCGCCCCGCGAGATCCAGTGTCAGATGGGTGCCCAGCCCGCCGGCGCCGGGTTCCGGCGCCGGGTAGATGAGCCGGCCGACTTTGGGCGCCGAGCTGGCGTACGAGAAATAGTTACCCTTGGCGTAATACATGGCGCGCCGCTCCGCGGCGGGCACGATCATGTTGTGCACGTCGACGGCTCCCAGCCCCGCGGCATTAACCAGCACCTCGGCAGTCACGGCACTTTCCTCTCCCGTCGCGGGGTCACGCACGCGCACCTCCCACCCGGCGCTGCCCCTCTCCCCCAGCGGCGTCACCCCCGTCACGGCGGAGCTCAGCGCCACGACGCCCCCCGCGTCCTCGAAGAGTCCCATCAGCCCGATCATCAGGCCGTGCGAGTCCACGATGCCCGTCGTCGGGCTCTCGAGCACGCCCGTCTCGGCCTTGATGTCCGGCTCCAGCCGCCGTGCCTCCTCGTCCGCGACCCAGCGCACGGGCACGTGGATCTCGTTGTTGCAAAAGTCATGCACGCGCTCGAGGGCCTCGCGCTGGGCGTCCGTCTGGGCAACGATCCACTTGCCCGTGTTGGCATGTGCGACGCCGCGCTCGCGGCAGAAGGCGTAGAGCAGCTCCTTGCCGCGGATGCAGAGCGATGTCTTGAGGGTCCCCGCCCCGTAGTAGATGCCCGCGTGAATGACCTCGCTGTTGCGCGAAGAAGTCTCTGTGCCGACGGCACCATGGCGCTCGAGGAGTACCGTCGATGTCCCTGGGCGCTTGGCGAGGGCGCGCGCCGTTGCGAGTCCTACCGCGCCACCTCCTACGACCTATTTGGGGGTTAGCACAAGGGCGGAAAGAAGGGTTTCATCATGGCGGAAAAGTCACGCCGAGGCGCGCGGACTATCAACTCACAACGTGGGTGAAGTCGGCTCGTGTGGAGGCCGTGGTCGAGAACCCTCGCCATGCTCGCTGGAGCCCATTGATCGATCTGAGAGACGACGGACTTAACAACATGATGACGGCTAATCGAAGCGGCCTGGCGCTGGTCCAAGGCAAGGATCCGAGAAGAGATAGATGTTTGTACACGTTCCCACTCGCCGATGACGCAACGGGGCCAGATGCAAGGGTCCCGATATCGCATCTGCTGCTAGTCATGTACCCGAATATTGGTGGATAGCACTGCCGAATGGAAGTAGCCCACTATTGTTGACAGCTGCTTCGCTGTTGTATCACATAGACCGCGATATCTCCAGCACTACAACCGATAACTTCCGACCCTGATGATTGTCGAGGAGCCCGTTGACAGAAGAAGTAAAACCAGTATTGCCCAGCCAAACGATGCCAATGGTCGTCAATTAAAGTCATGAAAAAATGTGATCTCATCGATTAAAACAGTAGGTATATAAGTAGGTATTTATGTGCATCCAACCCTCATCTTTTGGCTATTAGTCTACGCCGCCGTCGTCGCTCTTGACGGTCGGCTTGGGTGATGTCTTGCGGGCCAATCCTCCCCTGCCTACAATCTTCTCCGTCCAGTTCCAGGTGCCGAGTGGCGTTGTCGACCGGTTGCCATCCTTGTCCTTGAACTCAGCATCCCTGGGGCTCACGGCGCTGGCTGTCGTGGTCGTTGTCTCACTATCGTCGCTGTCCGCCCAATCTCGGTCACTCCACGTCACAGAATCAACCCGTTCTGGCGGTGGCCGAGGCGATCTGGTGATTCGAGGCGGGCTGGCGGATGAGCTGCGCGAGGACGAGCGTCGTTTGGGCGGCGCCCGCATGTCCGGCACCATGTCTTCGGCCTCCCGTTGAGAAGTTGGAGACAGCAGACCAGCGGGCGGCCTATCAATCGCGCCGTCTTTGGATGCCAGACCGCTATCCCTAACCTCGTCGCCGTACTTATTCGGTGTCTGGCTAATGTCGAGTGCCAGCTCTCCGGAAGACTCGTCTTCGTCGCGAGTCCTCGCGGTCGCCGAATCGCTGAAGTGAGCATCCACCAGATGTTTTACAACAGGCCAGCCGTAAGCATTGGCGAACATCCGGCGCACGATAATATTGTTGTGCGCGTCGGGCTCCAGCTTGACGAGGACTTTTCGCCAAGCCAGGCCACGGTGGTAAGCTCGAGCGATTTTCTCTTCAACCCGCATCTGCGAACCATCCACTTCCTCATAGGGCTCTCTATTTGAATTCATATTAGGGGTGTCGTCATAGTCCCGCGTCGAGTCCACGGTGCCTTCATGCGAGAAACGTTGGGACGGATGGGGTGACGAGTCGGTGCTAGTCCTCGATCCGCCAGAACCTGTCGACGCAGCCCTCCTGAATGTGCTTCTGCGAGACGCCAGCGAGCCCGTGGGTTTCTTCTTCAACGGCGGCGGCGGGATATCTGATGGATGGTAGACGCGGTCGTGAAAAATGGCCCTGGGGCGCTTGGAGGGGTCGATGATGTACTCTGTGGTAGGGATCTTGGGGTTGATCAGATCGTGCGCAGACTCGAAAAAGCTCGTTCTCGGCGGCGCAATGTGGTGATCTCGCTCGAGCTCGTGGCCTGCAGTGACCCTGGACCCCGACGTCTGCGAGATGTCGTCAAAGTTGATCGTCTGACTCCGCTTGTAGATTTTGTGCTGCTTGTTGGACATGCTGGGCGTCTTGGTTTGTGTTTTTGGCTGGGCTTGTTCGTTACCCTTGAAAAGGGACAAAAATCCAGCAAACGGTCCATTACTGGCACCGCCCTTTGCGTCCTCGGGTCCTGCTTCGTTGTACGGCGTGGGGACCGAACGAAGACTAGCTTGGTCATCTTCCATCATTGCGTTCCGCGGCGGCTGTGGTACTTCAACAGCGTTGGTCGGGAATGTCGGCGTAATATTGCCAGACTGGTCATCCGAAGGCTGCTCCATGTCTGGCGGGAGGGCGCTGGATCTCCGTGGTGTAGGCGCCAAGCTTCCGCCGGTCAGTTCTGCCCAGCCAGCACCAACAAGTGTCTCGACCAGCCCAGCGTCTCGTCTTGCCTTTTCCACGCGGCCCAGACCCTGCCAATCGAGGAACAGGAGACAGCTGGTCCTCAATGGGACGATGCCGTCGTTGACCACGTTGGAGTAGACGGTGCGGTTGCGGAACTTCTTGAGCGCCGTATGGGCCGGGCCAGTTGGCAGAATCCGCAGCAGAGGTTTCGACTCAGGTTGGACTTCACCCATGACCCTTTTGTGTGCGCTTTCGCCAAGATTGCTGACGATGGCGCCCCAGCCGCTCCTCGCAATTGTAGGCGCCCGCCAGGTAAGACCAAGATCCTGGCCTGTTCTGCCGACCAAGCCAAAGTCCAGGGCAAACTTGACGTATAAGGGATTTTCGTTGCTTAGGCCGAGAAATGGTGTGGCAAGGGCGACAAAGTTGATTGGTTTGATTAGGGTAAAGAATTCTGGCGAATGCTTCTGGATATATGCAACTGCGTATGTCTGTATCAGGCCGCCCAAAGAGTGGCCGATGAAACTGATGCTGGTAATCTTAAACGGGCGCTTTTCGCTGGCTTCTTCTTTGTGTATCGTGCTGTGTTTGTGAGCTGCCTTGCTGTCTGATTCAGATTTGTTGAAGACTGCAGCAACTGCAGTCTCTGCCGGGCTCTTCTTTGACGGCAGGAAAGGCTGATCGGGGTACGACATGGAGAGGATATACCTGGCCAGCCTCTTACCCAGGTACTTGATACCTCTTTCTGTCCTTGTTGCATTGCCCGAGAAGCCGCGCACAATAACCTCTTCGTTGTCCCCATCATCTTCTAAAGGGCTGTCATCTTGGGCTATGTCATCACATTTGTCTTTGGCATCCTTTGTGGCGTTCCTGTCTTCCTTTGCTTGTTGCTCTCTGACTTGTTTCTCAGCGCGCTCCTTGGCACGCCTGGCCTTGGCATCAATCTTGGCCTGCGCGACTGTCTGATCAATGCTCTCCTTTAAATACAACATGTCGGCCCCCAAGTTGCTGTGCAGACCATGGGTGAGGACAACCAAGTGCACTTTCTTTTGCTTCACCTCTGGCTTCTCCTGTGGCGCTTCCTGGGTGACGCTCTCGACAGGTTGGTCCTTCTTGTTACGACTCTTGAGCCGGTCAATGTTGAGGTCGTCCCAGCCCGGAAGCCTCGGGGTATTCCACAGGGTGGCCGTGTCCTCTACCTTGAGCCGAATCGCCTTAGAGAACACGCCCTTTAGCTGCGCTGGGTGGTGGCCATCCTTGGCACCGATGCTCTGCTGGTGGTCGGCAACCCTGCCGGGTTGCGGTACCTGGGCCTGGCCGCCGATGACAGGCAGTGAGGAGCTTAGGTTCAGCGACTTTGCGTCTCTAGCGAGCGTCACCTCATACCCAACCGCGGCCGAAGTTGAAAAGATGACCTGCGACGACACCTCGACAATCCACGAGGCGCTCTCGGCCTCCTGATCGGCTGGAGCCACGCCGCCGAAGTGGCCGCCGCCTCCGGTTCCCGCACTCTGACGTATGTGTTCTGGCACTAGCAGCTCGCACTCCCACGAGCCGCCGGCCTTGAGCATTGGCTCGAACTCGGGGACGCCATAGCGGCGGGGGTTCGCGAACTTGACGTTGGGGTTGAAATTGGACGGATAGGCAGCGGCGCCTAGCGTATAGGGGCCGTGGACAAAGGCGGCGCGCAGGGCGATGGCGGAGGAATTGCGGACGCGCAGGTAGAGGCGTTCAGGCGAGGGCAGGATTCGGTCCTGGGAGGGCGTGTAGGTGACGGTGTAACGGATGACCTCCCCAATCTTGACGCTCCCGACCTGGTAGACGAGAAGCATCGTGATGTTGAGCACGCTGCACCGGGGAGAAGTGAGGCTGGCAGGTAAGATATATGGGTGTGCTATTGTCGTCGGCCCGTTGGTGACGTCGTCATGTCCATGCGGCCGCTTCTCGAAGGGCCCAGCGGGGAGTTGCGGCGAGAGGAAGCGTAGTTCGCGGGGTTGGAGCTGATGTTGGTTTAATAATGACGGTGTCTATCGAACGGCGATTTCGATGTCGCATTCGGAGGTAAGATGCGTGGAAAATCGGTAGGGTATGTGAGGTGTAGCCGGGGGTTGAAGGGTACTCAAGAGGTGAGGAGGTTGTAGTAATGATAGCAATAGTAGTGGTAGTGATAGATGGGAGAGGAGGAAGAACGGAGAAAGCACTGGGGCCTAGGTATCCGACAGCACAGCTGGTTGAGGTGTGTAAATAGCAGTAGGTTTCCAGTCGAAGTACACCTGGTCACAGCAACAAAGGCAGTTACACTATGTGCGTACGTACATGCAGTGGGCAGAAGCAGATGCAGACGTAGAATCAGAAAGCCGATCCGGCAAAAACACGAATACTAGCGAAGGAGACCACGAGGGACCCGAGAGACCGGGGGGGTGTGGCTGCTAAAGAGCGTACAGATGCACAGACAACGTCATTGGACGAAGTACCGGTATCCGGCAGTCCTGGAGCATTCAAGCACTGGACCATCAGTCAATGACCAGAATGCTAAATGGCCTATGGCCACGCCCCGCCCATTTTGATTTCCCTCGTTCCCCACTTCCTATTCGATCCGAAGCCGCATTCGCTCTGCTAAGCTCAAAGTACTAGATACCTCCCTACCCTTTTGCTTTGCCGACGCTACGTCAACTTGCGTCGATCATGTATATGTGTGTGTGTGTGTGTGTGTGTGTGTGTGTTTGTAAGGTATTGTACGAATATATGGATTTGTTGAGCCTCGAGCTGGAACTCCTCGTCTCGCCAACAAGTCAAGTAGTTTAGTTTGACCCCCATCTCCCCGAGTATTTATCCGTATTCCTGTGGGAAAACAACGAAGAATGGAACATAATCCGGGACACCCTCCTCTTCCCGATCGCAGAGTCCCCACCTCGGAGCCCCTGGCGTGATGTTCAATCCAGACCATCTTGGACCCAAACCCAAGATATCGTTTCAATCCGAGAGGGAGGAAGGGAAAACCCCCATACCGGACGGAACGAAACTCTCACTCTGTTTCTCACTCAGCTCCCATTATCCAACCAAGGGCAGCAGAAAGTGAGAATGCCATATCCAAAGCCCAGACTTGGCTCGGAAAGGGTGGGGGGGAGGTCCAAGAGCGCATCAACCCCGCTAGTTAGATTAGCATTCTCCGGCCTTTCAATCCATCGCCACAGCAAGCCAAACCGTCAGAAGTCCTCGACCAGAGCTGTTGCAGGCACCGCCAGGCTTGGCAGGGGACCAGACGTTTCTCAATCCATGGACAATCATTGAGATGCTCATTGGTGAGAGGGGTCCACCCCTGAGAGCAACAATGCGGCGCGATGCTTAAGCTTCGTGTACACTACATAAACCTACATACAACCGGTGCGATGAGACTTTGGACGCGGTGATAGTTTGCCTCGAGTTCGTGCGCCCATGTGTGTGTGGTGTGTGTAAGGGCCACGCATCGCTCATCTCGCCTGTTGCCTGTAGGGAATAAAGTGCAGTGCGGCAATGCATGCAACAATGTAACCGGCACTACCCTGAGATGCGAAGACGGCCCATCAATGCGAACGATACGCACGCCATGAACCGCACCACGCCACAATGCCCTCCCTACAACCGAGATAGCGAGCGGAGACGTTCATTGCGAGTCAGCGAGCCTCGTTCTTTTGCCTGCTTGCTACATGGTGATTCACTGATCACTTTCGGCCTCTCCTCGACTCAAGGTAGGTACTCCGTATGTATCCGGAAATCATTCAACCACAACCTTGTCGACCCCGCCAGATCCGTAGGCCTTGACGCCCAAAGCCTACCAAACTCTCGCCCACTTTCAAGAACAACAACACAAAAACAACAAAAACAAAAACAAAAACAAATTGATTAACGACAAAACTTCTCTTCTCTTTCTCTCCTCCCACCATCATACTCAAAATGGATTCGGTCAAGGGAATTGCTAGGCCCAGGCGTAGGCGTTCGCATCGAGACGGGGCGGGCCCAATAACGCGGCGCCCTCCAACATGGGCTCCCCCCGCGTCCTTGGTTGGTCCACGACATTGGATGACGAGGCATATGTAACTCGGTCCGCAGCACCCAGTGCCAACTAACCGCGGCCGAAGCTTCGCATGAGGAACAGCAAGCTGGCAGGCGAGGCAAGGTAAGTCAAAAGAACCCAAATGAACCTCATGCACTCGTGACTATACTGCCTACTCTCCGAGAACCTTATACCATACCCGCCCCGAGGATATATCACGCGCCTAATATTACAAGCATGACCCCATTGAATAGCAAATAGCCCTCCCAAACGTGCAACATGGACAAACCGGCAATGTCAGTTAATTCGTCAAATCGTGCTGTGTCCTGGGTCCTGTTCTGTCGTCAAGCGCTTGCCTCGTTAGTCTGTCGTATCACGCCATGGCTGCCCGCTCTCCCTCCGGCATGCCTGGTTGCACATGGTTCCGCCATTCATGCACACGATTCATGCCGCGACCCATCCCCGTGAGCCCGGCGAGCGTCGACGATTTGGGCTCCTCTCGCATTCGTCTCCGGCTCCGTGGCGCATGCACTGCCGCCTCCCTCTCGTAATCGTGTACCATCCGCCCCGGCACCACGCGCTCGGATGGCCGCGTGGTCCTGTTGTACATTTCCTCCTCTATCGTGTGCCTCCTAAGCAACGGAAGTGGCGGACGGGGGCCCATTACCATCGGTGCCGACATCGGAAGAGGTCCCATTGGAGGAGCAGTCATCGGTCCGAGGGGGGGTACCGGCGGCGGTGCCATCATCCCCGGCCGGGGGGCACTCGGGCTCGAACGGAATTCCGAGAAGCGCTCGGCGAGGCGCTGCCCCAATGCGTCTGGAGGCATGCCTCTCGCTCTGTTAACCCCCGACATGTAGTCCGTCGGCGCCGGACGTTCGAAAGCCGCTGGTGGCGTTGGTGCCGGCGGCACAGGTGCCGCCACAAAAGTGTCCAGTTCTCTGCGATAGTCGTCGTTCATGAAATGGCCCGCCGTATTGCCGACATCGACAAGGTCCCCATATCCGCCGTCGTAAACATCGTCAATCTCGTAACTCTGTAGCGTCCGCGCAAGGTCTTCGTCCCGGTTTTCTTGGAATCTCCGCATCAGTCTGCTGTCGTACTCTTGCGATCGCGACCGGGGTGCGCTGGGCGCAACACTTGGCCGCATACTCCTTGAGCTCTGGGCCAGGTCCAGTGGCTCCATGTGTTGAATGGCAGCCGGCACCTGCACATCGTAGAGCTGGTCTGCGTCTTCTGTCTCGTGGTTGAACCAGGGACAGTCGCAACTCTTCCACTTCGTACCGCATACCATGCAAAACTGTGCTCCGCATCGACTGTTCCGATCAGCAAGTTCCAAAACAGCAAAGGAGCAAGAATAGTGTTTACCATGTCATGTGATTGCAGCCTTCCTTGAGCTCAACCATGTGGTGGCACTTGTAGCATCGCTTCCAGCCCTCATCCTTGGCCTGGTCTAAAAATCTTGTCGTCTCCTCGTCGTTGGGACATTCTCTCGATGGGTGCCACCGGCCGTTACACGAGCAACACACCTTGGTCCGGCATTGTCCACACTTACCGTACTTGCGACCTCCTTCTTTGCGGATGTAATGTGGCTTGATCCAGGCGCCACATTTTTTAGAAGGACAGTAAATTCGATTCCGTGCCGAGTACTCTTGGAACTTCCGATTCCACTTTTTCTTGAAGTCGGCTGAGAACAGGTGGTCGACGTGCTTCAAGGCGATGTTCTCGGAGCAGCACTTGGGAGGCATTTCCTGCGGGTCAGTGATGGAGATTTTGAAGTGCCTCTTCAGACACACGCTGCACATCCGATGCCCGCACTTGAGTTTTGCAATCTTGCTCGACGAAAATTCTTCCATGCACACAACGCACTCAACTCTGGTAGAGAAGCGTCAGCGTCCGCGAGACATTCAAGTTTTGGTCGGTTTACCTGGCCGTCTTATCGGACGAATGGGAGACGGAGCTCCCCGTCAGCAGGTTGCCCAGGAAGCTGGAAGAGCGCCTGTTGGACGAGGTTGTGCTCCGCGTGCGCGACGTAACGTGCGATGCCCCTGAGACCGTGTTGGAGCGGCGGATCGTGCGCGTCTTTGGGTACACAGTCTGGGACGGGTGTCTTATCGAGATCCTAGTTGGGGTCAACTCGGAATCGCCCCTAGTCTGGTAAACCTCGCGAGCCAGCCTCTTGGAGGAGCTGGGCGGCTGGTGATGGTGGCTTGATCTCCGGGCCGGGCTGCGGGAACGATGACTGGAGTAGTGCCGCTCCGAAGCCGGTCGCGAGATGTGAGAACGGTGCCGAGAAAGCGAGCGGCTGCGCTCATCCGTGGACTGTCGCGGGGTGGCCTCGGTGGAGCCGTCGTCCTCTTCCATGTAGATGATCTTCTTTATCTTCATGCGGCGTTTCGGTGTCTTGTCGTCCTCGGCCGGCCGCCGCCGCTCGACGACCGTTTGGCGTAAGGGTTTCGAGTATTTCTCTCTCTCTTGCCTGTTTCTGTCTCGACGGCGCTCATGCTTCTCTTCTTGCGTCGAGACGCTGCTCTCAGATTCGTCGTCCGAATCCGTCTCGGAGGTAGACTGCGAATACCGCGACGACTGCCTCGACTCGCGGATACGAGGTGTCCTCGAGTGGTGGCTCGACCTCGGACTGGGACCACGCCTGGAAGCCTCTCTTTCTCTCTCTCTCCCGCTCAAGGGCGGTTCTTCGTCGTAAGAATCGTAGCCATCGTCGACCGGCACCCTTCCCCTCCTGTATGGAGGGGCGTTGGGGGTCGCGGGCATGGTGGCTGAGAGGGTGGCAGACACGGCCCTGATGGTGTTTACGGAGCGGCTTCGTCCCATGGACGAAGTCGTCTCGTGGTGCCCTTGTATAAGATCCCTGGGCCTCCGGTACGGCGTGGGATCGAAGGCGGTCTCTCTGGTGGGTTGCCAATCATAGTGTGGGATGGGCGGGGGACTGGGAGGGTGCCGCGGCCGGCTCGTTCTCCTGTACAAGTCTGCGCCATCTCGATAGGCCATTGGGCTGCGGTCAGCCTCATGCGGGAGGTACGAGAGAAGTTTGAGATGGGTTCGAGGGCGGGAGCCGTTGAATCGAGGATCGAGAAAGGGGTGCACCCGGACAGCTGGTTGCTCGTGAGTGGGTGGCTTCAATGCATGCTGCGGAGCTATGATTGGGCTTGGATGACGGGTTGCATATCGGGCATGCACATGCAGGCGTGCAGAGATGATTTTGTGCGCCCTGCAAAAGCAGACGACGGCGAGGGTTTGCCTTGCTCTGCGGTGAGGTATCAATCGGGCAGCAGCGCAAGTTGTTTGGTCGGACGGAGCCAGGAGGTGTACGAGGATGGCTCGTTGGATGATGATTTCGCAGGATCAGGTTGTGGGAGGCCGGGAGGGGCTGGACATGCTGATCGGTGAAATGGTGAATGGAAGGCTGGAGCAAGGTCCCATGAAAGCAATGCCCGTTTCAAGCAAGGGAGAGTAAGGAGGAGGAGCAGAAAAGACAGACACGCAGACAGGCAGACATTCGTGCAACCTGAAAATCCATGGCAAGTCAAGCCAGCACGGCGGGAGCTGCCCACTGCCACCTGTCTGTATCTTACCTACTTGTAGGTAGGAGTACCTAGGTAGTTGTTAGCCAAAGTAGACCTAGGTTGTAGACTAGGTACCTAATAGGGCGCCACCAGGAGCAAATCGATTGGCCCCTGGCTGCGGCCGGCGGGGTGAACTTGTCTCTGACGAGGCGCCCCGTGAAGCCCACCTTCAACCCGTACGAATACCTAAGCTCGTCGTCTCGTGCGTGGCCCATGCCCTGCTGCTGCGGCCCCATCTGCCATGGTTTGAACACTGAAAGACTCTCCCGTGTCGAATCAGCAAAAGCCCAGCTCTCGCCGAGCTGTTTGACCTTGGTTCCAAGCCCCTTGATTGTTTTGCACCGCACGCACACGAATATACCGACATCGCCTTATGTGCCATGCGCAGACAATCATCTTACGGTCAGTCGTCCGAGCTAGCGGCCAGTCCGATCTGCACCCAGCGGGAGCGGCTACCTCTCTGACAGCAAACCTTGAGCCAAAGAGGGAGGGTGGGAAACGTGGGCGGGAGGCTGGCGGTCGCCGAGCACTGTGTGGCTAGGTAGGTACCTAGGTAGGTACCTAGTGACAGTGCCCTGCATGGAGGCAATTACAGAGGTAAGTATGCAGTACTGTCCACTACCGCCAAGCGAGGGAACCGCCGATGAGCTGGAAAACAGCCTATGCACGTGCAACAGCCCTCTGCATTCCTCGGCCATCATCCCAGCCGGTGACTAATAGGTACCTACATACCTACGCCGTTAGGCAGACACGGACAATATGATTTGGCCAACAGTCTCATATTTAGGGGGGGAGAGACGATGCCAGAGCTTTCTGTTTTGCTGGTCCAGTTGAAGTTTGTCCCTAATTACCAAATCCGCCGACTCTCCAAAAGCCCAGATACGACTTTTATTCGTACATTCAGAGGCACCTAGGTACCTAGCTATCTACCTACAGTACCTACCTTGGTACCTAAGTAGAGCTGCTTTGGCGCTATCGCCCCACTTCGGCCGGCACCAAAGTACCTACACTGGGGACTGCCGACGCCCACGGCGCTTCGGGGCGAGTGCGGTGGGGCCGATCCGGTGGTCAGCACCCGAGTCAGGGCTTTTCGTTCTTGCTGCAGACCGCCTTACCGTGCATCGAGAACAGTCGTCTCTAATTTTCCCAGAAACCTTAGGCGAATCGTCTGAAACCTTCTCGTAGTCATTCACACGCAGCGCATCTTCGATGTGTCACGGTCGCAAGAAATACACGCCATCCTCACCTCGACGGCTGTGGCTTTACCCACGCCTGCACCAGCTGCCAGTCCGCAAGCTCCCTTGTCCGTCTCGGACATCGCCGCCATCGTCATCGGCTCCTGCGGCGAAAGAAATGGTTCGGCTGTCGCTCTTCCGCCGGGTCCCACGTTGGCTTCGGTTGATTATCGACGGGCTTTGGTGTACCTATCCTCCTAGAAACCCGTCTTCACGTTTGTCTCCGTTCCGGCCTGGTCCGGATCCAAGCCCCGTTGATTGGTGGATCTCCTGATTTCCACTTCCCGTAGACCGGCTCCTCCCCGAGTCCTCAGTCTTCGTCACGTTCGCTGGCACTCGAAACGGACTCTAAAACCAGGTGCTATGTAGTCGCCTACCTGCTTAACGGTGGCCTGTAGATGGGCAAGCTGGCGAGATATCATCAGGGCACGCCGAGCCTCCGCATCTCCTCGGACTGATAGCCAGTCGACGTGTGATCCCCCCCTAACGCCGGTGCTGGGCCATGATGCGATATGCCGTGCCCGTACTACCGTTTTACGAGATCAAAATGCTAGCTATTATCGTGGGCCTATGGTGCGAGGCTGCTCGTAATCAGTCAGTCGCTACCCTGACAAGCAACGTGGTCGAAACAAACATCATCACGAATGCATGGCCCGAAGCCATGGTTGCTTTCAATTCTACCATGCATGCTGAAGTCGTACAGAGAGACCTGTCAAGTCACATTTGTACACCAATGAATACACTGCACACTCTTCCGCAACGCCGCGTGACCCTCCTGTACGGGAGTTGCTTTCGCGTATGCAACTCGAGCCAAGGCCTGGATAGTACCCTGCAGACAAGTCATTGGGGTTCCCAGGGCGAATAGCAAGGCCGCGCGTGGTCCAAGCCCAATCATGCTCGCATCTTGGCCTTCTGTATTGGGGATAATGGCGTGATTCGGTTGTTGAACTTGTTCTCTTCAACTTGACATGAATCAGAGGGACATCTTGCATTCTTGTAACAGCCATCGCAGTTGCAGTTGCAAGTAGAGGAATGGGTATTTCACCAGCAGTGCTATGTTATACAATACTGTGTCGCCGAACGTTGGCAGATTTTGGACTTAAATCCCGAGCCAAAACAACCCCTTAAGAAAACCCCGTTCCCTCTTACCCAAGGCCAGGCACGCCAGCCGGCTTTGGTATTTCATTTCTCATACTCGTTATTCATATTCCTGCAAAAGAGAGCCTGGGGCGCAACTCGCCCGACATCAATCTCTCAACGCAATTGCTGAAGAATCGCTCCATCACTTGAACGGCTCCATGTTTGTGAAAAGTGACAGCGTACCGCCCTCCGCTTTCACTCTCGGGAGATGGCCGGGGTTGCCGTCTCGAACCGGGTTGGCGCCAGTCATGTCCATTGGCCGAACGTACGAGTGCCGGGGTTTCGGTCCGAACAGCCAACGAGACCTTGTATTATCCGCCAACCAGGCGTCTCCTACTCGTAGGCAAATCATCAGCCCTCCTCCAGATGGCGCAACCCCGGATTTTTTTCTGTACCCGGGATGTTTCTGTCATCCGCCATCCAGCACGCACTCTGTTGCTGCTGCGACCGTCCGCCTGCTTCCCCAGACCTAGAGCGCCCAGCCCCGCATGAGCGGGAGGGAGGCCGAGAGTCGTCGTCAGGGGTAATCAACGACTCTAGCCTCTCTTGCGTTGTTTGCGCGTTTTTGCACTTGAATGCAGGGTTGCTTGCTGGCATGGATTTAGAACAACAGATCGGCTACCTCCAGAGCCAGTGTCAGCAACTGGGGTGAAGGACTTTTGGCGGGCCTACAAGTTGTCCTCTTTGATGGTGGGTCGGCTAGCTTCCCAGAACCGTTGTGCAAGCCGTATAGGCACCGGACTGTGATGGCTTTCATCCGCTCAGGTATGCCCTCCTTCTCACTTCGGCCTCTTTGATAATCTCTGCTGCTAGGCTCAGGCTAGGGGCCAGGGTCGAATATCGCTCAATCTCCATCACAACGTCATTGATAATCTGGTCGATAGTTTCCCGATGAGGTACGAGTGTGAGGAGGATGCTGCTGAGAGAGGGAGACATGGTTGCACCCATGACTAGTAGCGTCTGCGACACGATAGAGAGGGCCCCTTGCCACAGATAGGGCATGTGGCCCGCATGACTGCGGTGTATTAGCAGGCGGCAGCTGCGCCATGGCAGTGAGACTTACTGTTGAGAAATGTGCTCCAATTGCCGGATGGAGGCTTCCAGGCACTTGTGGCAACTGTCGCGTACCGCAGGGTCCAGGACTGCCTGTTCGTTGTCCAATACGGCCAAGATGTACGGGCGATAGATGATTGTACGGCAAGCAAAGAACCGCAGGCGCAGCACCGTCTGCACCGGGTCGGTGAGCAGGTTGCGGGTGAAGGGGAACTGCAGCGGCATGGGCAGACTCTCATACCATTGCGTCAGCTGAAAGTCGAGTTCCGCCACCACAGGCTCCAGGCTGGTGGTGGAAGCCATTGAGTCTTTCGAGTAGATCAGCTGGCTGACTCTGTTGAGAAGCCGCCGCAAGGCAATCTCAGCCAAGAAGTACCAGAGATCGTCACGGCCAATCGCTTCCTGTTCCTCACCCTCGAAACCGCCAGGCAGGCCGACGTTCTCTTCGAACTGGACAACGCCCGAGTGTGGCAAATCCAGCTCGGCCAGCAGGTCGCTCTCAAACAGCAACGAGTTCCAGTAGATCCGCTCCGTCAGCTCTCGTTGGTTTGGCGGTACCCTATTGGGTGACATGAGTAGGAGCTGCAACTTGGTGCTCGTAGTGCAGAGGAGGTTCCAGGCCTCGAGCGGCCGCACGAGATAGAACAGATAGGCCGAAGCCAGCAAATGACACTGGGCCGCCAGAACGTTGTTGGACGTCATCATGCCT